GGTTCAACCCCTTTGCTTTCCAGATGAGAGAACTGAGACCCAGAGGGTTTAGTGACCCTGGCAGAGGTCACCCAGCAAAGCAGGCGGTAGACCCCAGCGTCCTACCTCCTCCAGGGCCCAGAGGAGCAGAGCAGACCCCAGACCTGGACAGGGTGGATCCTTGAGGGTTGCTACACTCCCTGGCAGCGACCCAAGACCTTGGCTCAAGTGTGCCCACGGTTTGTTGAGGCCCATCCCCTTGAGTCTTGGGAACGGGTTGGTCCGTGAACCTCAAGCCTCTGTCAGCACATCTGGCCCACTGGTGTGGACTGAAGCAGCCCCACACTCGCTCCTGGGTCCCTGGAGCACTGGGCATGGGGATGCCATGGGCACACACCTACCAGCACGTCCGTCCTAAGTGCCAGCGTGTGAGTATGCAGGGCTGGCACGTGGGCACTGGGGTCTGTTGGTCGTGGACCCCTTGCCAATAGGATGACTGCTGTTGGCCCTTTCCCAGGAAACTGGGACCTGAGGGTTCATGGGTCCCTGACACCTGCCAGAGAGGCAGTCTACTTTCTTCCCCAGGATGTTCCCACAACACGTCCTTGTAGAGCTGACTGGCCAACTCTTCCGCCTCCTGGCCTGTGGGCAAGATGGTGCTGTTGCCCACTGCTCAGCCCACCCCCAAGTCTCTCCTGAGCTCTTGTGTTTAACTGAAGTTTTAAGGGTCCTCCAGTCCACTGAACCGCTGCCACGGCTCCGGCCACACCATGATCCAGCAGCTCCAGGCTTCCCTCACTGACCGCAGACTGGCCTTCCTGCTCTTGGCCTAGGTGCCAGGCTCATCAGACTAGGGAGGGGGGTGCAGGCCTGGTCAGCAGGCTCCAGGGAAGTCACTGGCCACAGCCAGCAGGTCCCCAGTGACTGAATACAACTTGGGGCCATCATTCTTGCTGTTCTCTTCCTGTAAATGACCGCTAATAGGGTTCCCCCGTTGCCTCCTTGGAATAGTAATTACCAGCTGCTAAGGGCCATGGATCACACTCACATTCATAACCTGCAGAGACCCAAAGGGGCAGCGTTACGTTTTTGAGGAATGTGGGAAAGCCACGGTGGCCGTATCACATGAGGTAAACCAAGCCACTTGGGTTGTTCTAGAATGCCCCTCCCTCACTTTTTTTTTTTTTTTTGTGAGGAAGTTCAGCCCTGAGCTAACATCCATGCTAATCCTCCTCTTTTTGCTGAGGAAGACTGGCTCTGAGCTAACATCTGTTGCCAATCCTCCTCCTTTCCCCCCACCCCCAAAGCCCCAGTAGATAATTGTATGTCATAGTTGCACATCCTTTTAGTTGCTGTATGTGGGACGCGGCCTCAGCATGGCGGAAGAAGCGGTGCGTCGGTGTGTGCCTGGGATCCGGACCCGGGCCGCCAGTAGCAGAGCGCGTGCACTTAACCGCTAAGCCGCGGGGCCGGCCCGCCCCTCTCTCACTTCTGAGTCACTGGCTTGCTTTGGAGAGAAGAGGGGACATATGTTCTGATCACTTGTCTTCCCGGATTACAGGGCTGTTCAGCCCAGAGTGACTAAGTGGGAGTGTTCTGTGGGTCTTAAATGCTTTCAGCTGGGTGTTTCTATAGTGCCGTCACCATAGTACCTGCTTAGCAAGGAGCAGGCATAGGCAGCAAAGAGCAGGATATGAGGAGCCTACTGGCCATGCTGGGGACAGGCTGGGGCCATTTTCAGCAGCCTGTTGCTGAGTCATGAGAGGTGTAGGGCCAGGCCGTGTTCTGTCCTCTGCACTCTTCCAGAGAACCCGAACACTCCTCCAAGTTTGGGGGTGGCCCTGCCTACAGAGCAAGCCAGAGTGGCCTGGAGCCTGTGGGTGTGGGGCGTCCTCCTCTCCCTCTCCCCTCAGGGTGAAGCTCCTCACTTGGCCTAGATTTCCAGGATCTGCATGGTGAAGTTGTGGTTTCTCTCACGGGGAGTTGGCGTCCTAGAAAGGGAGGTCAGGAAAGCCAGCTGTTCCTCGACAGAAGTGGCAGCCACGTGTCCTGGCCGACTGGGGCTCTGCGCTGGCCAGAGTGCTTGGTGTTGGGGCTCAGGCAGCTGAGGAGCCCTGGGCTCCTGGCTCAGGAGCCAGGGCTCCTGGTGGAAGGTGTCAGTTCTCCCCCGGTCCTCGGCCCTGACCTGGGTTGGCCACTCTCGGGGGCTGGACCCTGGCCAGTGTAGCTCAGGAAGTGTCTCCTGCCCGTTCTCCAGGTCACGTGATCCCTGGGGAGCTGCTTGCACGGTGGCCCTGCAGCCCCTGCCTGAGCTGCGCTCTCTACCTCAGCCCTGGATCCCCGTTGGAGACCTGTGCAGCTCCCAGCTCACGGGTTCATGGGGCTCGTTTGAATAAATGGAAATCTTAAAAATACAACACCGCTCCCTCCCCTCCCAGACCCTGCTAATGAGGCCAGCGCCCTGCGCTGTACTTATGTCCAGGGATGTGAAAGACATTACCGCAGCCTAAAAACCCAGAAACCATCCTCAGGACAGATGGCTGGGCCCACTCCAGGGTGGGTTTGGAAGGAGCTGTTCTCAGCAGCGTTCTCAGGGCCAGTAGACCCAGGGGCCCCCGCGTCCCAGTTTATGCCGCTGTCCTAGGGTGACCGTTCACAGCGGCACCTTTCTTTCTGCAAAGTCTGCGTTTAGATGGTAACTGCTGGGGAGGCTGTTGCTCTGGGTGCTCCCCCAAACCCCCACCAGACCTTCTGGGGTGAGGCTGCGTGCTGCCTGGGCATGGAGTCTCTGCGTGCCTGGCTCCCTCGAGCCCATACCTCCCAGGCCTGGCCCCTGCTGGAGTTGGTGGGACATCTGGAGCAGCCACCAGGGAAGGCGGGAGGTGGTGACACAAGAAGGGGGGTGGATTAGGAGTTTTCCTGGGGACTTAAGTTTGGATCTTCTCCTTCTGGAACCTTACAGAGACTTCTCCCGAGGCAGACCCTTTAGGGGGCTCCTGGGCACCAAGCTGAGCCTTTGTGTGCTCCTGTGTGCGAGGACAGGGACCAAGGAGGTGTCGTTGTCTTGGGCTGGTTGAAGCCTGCAAGGCCATGTGGCTAATGTTCATGACAGTGTCCTGGAGGGGGTAGGATGGCCATGGAGCAAAGCGAGCGTGGGACCCTCCAGGCAGCTTCAGTCTAGTGCTGGGTGTTGTTTTGGTGATGGGGCTGGGGAGGCGTGGGGGGTGTGCATCTGTGGTCCCTATGCTCGTGCACTTGCTGCCCCTTCCAGGCCCTTCTATCCAGAGGATATTCCTGGTCCCCAGCCCTCTGTGCCCTCTTGTCCTCACAGTTGCCTTGTGGGGCTTCTAGGCCGGAGTGCAACGTGTGAGCAGTCTCCTCGGCAAGTGCCTTCGTCCACGGCCATGGCCAGGTGGCCTCTGCAGAGTCCTCCTGTAATAGCAGGGCCTCGCCCACTGTGCCCTCCACAGGCCCTCAGGGGCACCCTGAATCTGCAGGCTGGAGGAGCCGCAGTGCAGGGGCAGTTCTGCGGGAGACACCAGTAGGTGCACGTTTTGTAACCAGAGGAAAAGTACTTGAAGCTGCTTGGGCTGCCAAGGTGGAGGAGAAAGAGGAAGAGGAGGAAGAAGCGGCGGAGGTGATGGGGAGCAGAGCTGCCCTGGAGAGCTCCTCCCCTGTGCTCAGCTTTTCTCCTGGGCTGGCCTAGCTCGCTCCCCAGGCGCCATCCTGCATCCCCTTCAAGCACACCCCATAGCCGGGCCCTGTGGCTGCTTGGGAGAGCCAAGGCCTATTCCTTGAGGCTGTGGTCTTGCTTTGGGGGTGGGGGGGTAGCTATTTTGAGGCACATTTAAGCTGCCCTCACTAGTAGGGAGGAGATGGAGTTCAGTGTGGGAAGGTGGGGTGGTCTGAGGGAGCAGAGGGAGCAGGGGTCTCCAGTTCTGCTGGCAGGGCTAGGCAGGCCCTGCCTTGGGGTGGTGTGGCTTGCTAACACTGACAGAGCTGGCACGCTGGTGACAGCATTGGGGACGGGCCCATGCCCAGGCTGGTCCTTGCCTCTCCAGCTGAGCAAGCTGCAAGGGGAGGCGGCAGGAACAGCCTGCTCTGCATTCTCCCGCCTGTCGCCCACCCTGCTGACTCAGAGCTGCTGGGGGAGGTTGCCCCCTCACGCCTGGGCCTGCCCCTGCTGGAGGACCGGGCTGCTCCAGAGCAGAGCAGATGCTGCAAAAGCTGCTCCAAGATGGCAGTCCCAGCCACCAAGTAGTCTGTGTTCCTTGTGAATGGTCTGCTTCAGGCATGGGGTGGGCAGGAGGAGAGGTGAGGCTGGAAGGACCTTCCTATGCCTGAGAAGTGGCTCCCTGCTGAAGCAGCCGGACCCTGCAGGCCCTGCACACAGACACACCGCGGGGAGCTTTGGTGGGTGTCTGCCCGAGGGCTCTGCAGACCCCGACAGTGTGCGTCTGGGGTGCTCCTGCCTCCCCATGACAGCCGCTCACAGTCTTGCCGGCTCCTTGTTACCTAAAGTTTCCAACCTGCAAAATCAGAGACTATATCGACGTGCCCCAACATCAAGGGGTGTCTCCTGTGCCTGCATTGTCTACCCACCCCCACGGGATTTGGGTGCGAATTAGTCATTCTCAGCACACGGTGCTGACTGAGCTTTCTCGTGTACCGTCAGGGTGGTTCTAGATAGTTGGAATCAGGATCGACAGGAGGTGCCACTCGGTCACATGCTGCCACCGGTGCTTGCCATGTAATCCACCAGCATGGTCCCCGAGTGTGCAGCTGTCAGGATGTGGAGGGGCAGGTGGTTGGGGGACACATTCCCCCAGGGGACACAGGCACAGTGGGGCATGGGGCTGCCCCCTGCCACTTCTGCCTGCACCCTATTGGCCTAAGTGAGTCACTTGGCCAAGCCCCACACCAGTGGGCTGACCAGGAGGTATGCTCCGCCTCCGGTGGGGGCCAGAACTGGACGTGATTGTATGTTGTCCTGTCTCCCCTGTTCTCTCCCCTACCCCCAGTACATCGATGCCATCAGCAACAAGCAGGGTGAGCTGGAGAACTACGTGTCAGATGGCTACAAGACGGCCCTAACAGAGGAGCGGAGGAGGTTCTGCTTCCTGGTGGAGAAGCAGTGTGCTGTGGCCAAGAACTCCGCGGCCTACCACTCCAAGGTGAGGGATGTGCTCGCTCTGCGTGGGGCCGAGCCCTTGCTGGCAGAAATGGACTCGTTCCCCATGAACATGGTGGGGGCGTGGCCAGCTGTGAGCTGTGGTGAAAGCAATACTGTGCTGAACATCCCCATGCATTTCGGATTTCCCCAGGGGTAGAGTCTAGAAGGAGAATTATCAGGTCAAAGGCTGCAGGTGGCTATAAGACCCCTCTTGGAAATTGCCAGGTGCATTTTTGAGAACAGTTACACTGACAGCTGTAAGAGAGGGTCTCCTCTGAGGAGCAAGCCCCTCGGAAGAGGTGCAGCGCCAGGGAACCCCTTGTAGAGGCCGGTTTAATGAGACCCGAGGACACAGGCTCTCCCACAGGGACAGGCATTTCAGTGGGACCCCCATTCCCCATAGTCCACAGGAGCTGGGGTGGGATCAGATCTGTCCACTAGAACATTCTGGAACATTCTAACAGTTTAAAAGTTGTGGTTAGGCAGCCAAGCCAACCAGGGAGGCCCTAGTACATGTCCTTTTTCCATGAAGGGGTTCTGTGGATCAGCAGGGTACAGGCATACTCAAGCTCGATCTGAGACTCAGCTTCTGGTCCCCATGGCTTGGGCAACCAAGGAGACAGATGCCCTCCCTCTGTGGAGAAGCTCCTGCCTGCCCGGGCTTCCTGAGGGCCTGCTGTCACAGGTACAGAGCAGGCATAGTGACAGGACCTGTGTTCCCTTCGGGGTCAGGGATGGGGCCACCCCACTGGTTATGCCGTTGCCATCCAGATCCTGCACTGGGAGAGCTCGCTGGCAGCCGGGGTGTGGGAGCAGGCGGGCCTCCGCCTGCACGGCTGCCAGCTGCGGTGTTCCAAGCAGGGGCGGACACACCGCCTGCGCGGCTCCCGGCAGTGCTGCAGCAGTTGTCTGCGCCCTCTGGTGGAGGCCAGGCCCTGTGGCGGATCTAGGAGAGCTCAAGCCCGTCATTGCCACAGGTGGGGACAGGGACAGGAGAGCTCTCGTTCTCCAGGACACTGCCATCTCCGTTTCCGAGGGGGGCCTGGTCTTGCAGATGGGAGAGGTGACAGCTGACTTTCCAGGGAGCTGGATCTAGCCCTCCAGGGTGGGTTTAGAGAGGCACAAGCCCCGGGCTGGGGCATGAGGGCAGAACCTCCCCACCTGTTCCCAGACGCAGGCCACGGGGCATTTCCCTGCTGCGTGGGCTTCGTCGCCCGGTGGGAGCTCTGGGCCGCTCTGGTCACCTCAGACGTGGAGCCCCTCCAGGGGCTGCACTCTGACCCTGGTGTTGTCCCCCATGGTGCTGGGTCCCTGCTGGCCTGCTTTCTCACCACCACCCCTCACCCGTCAACCATTTATCTCAGGCAGGGGCCAGATGGTAAATATTTTTGGTTTTGGCCATTGCATGCGGCAGCGGCCACAGACGCGTAAATGAACAGACGTGGCCATGTTCCAATGAAACCTTATTTACAAAATGGGCAGCCAGCCCTCGGGCTGTGGTTTGCTGGTCCCTGATCTAAACCAGCAGCGAAAGAGGGGCAGCAGCCTGCTCAGAGGGCAGTTTGTTTGGCATCCTCCAGTTTCCCCATGCGGGCACTCTTCCCCACCCAGGCACAGATCCAGAGAAGTGGGAAGGTGAGTGGGGAGAGGCAGTGAGGGCCAGACAGCCCCTGTGGAGGTCCTGGAGACCATGATTGCTGCAACCTGGGGGGCCGCTCCATTCAGGAGAGATCCGGAGTCTGCAGTAGGACACGGATTGTGCCACCTGCTGCAGGTTAGGTAGCCCACTTTGGCCAAGGGCCAGGAGGGGTGAGGGCACAGCTGGCCGCAGGCCGTGGGCATGCCCATGCAGTGGGCACAGGACCTCAAGTGGGTTGCAGGGAACCTTAGGCCGGCGTCTCAATTCTGGCTGCCCCCCCGGGACCCTTTGCCAGGCCTGTGGCTTCTTCCTTCTTTGTGGAGCCCTTGTGTTCATCTGGGCAGCTCTGTCCTGGGCAGGCTGTGGTGCACAGCAGAAGGATAGCTGGGCTCTCGCACCCCTGGGTGGTGGGCAGAAGCAGTTAGCGCTCTATGTCTGCCAGGTGTCAACAGGGCCCCCCCTCCCTTTGTCTTTGGCAGCCTGGCCTGACTTCACCTGGGCCCTGGGCAGCTCTGTCCCTTCCCCATGGTCCCCTCCCTGTCCCTGCAAAGTTTCATGGTCCTCAGGTCTGCTGGACGACACTCTTCCTAGTATCTCAGGGTTCGCCCATGAAGGGTCACCCATTCTGTGGCTAATGTGTGGGCCTCTGTTCATTTGTCTTTCTGTGGGCCCCTGGGGAGGCCCCTGCCCAGGTGGGGCCTTGGTTTGATCTCATTCCTGGTGGTCCCTCGACTGCATGGTTTGCTGCCACATTCCAGCCCCTTTTCCTGTCGAGGGTCGGGGACTTACAGGTGCCCTGTCTGGTTGTGAGGCGCCAACTGGTAGAGAGCAGCCCACAGCCCCAGCCAGATGCTCCTGGGTTGGGGGTATGTCTCCAGGAGCCTCTTGGTGCCAGGCGGAGTCTGGGCTGCATCAAGGAGGTCAGCAGCAGGTCCTGGCCTCTCCCAGCCCTGCAGGGGGTCCCCCGGGATGTGGCTGGCTGCGGGAGCCCGCGGTCAGCCCTGTTCTGCTTCCTCCACTTCAGGGAAAGGAGCTGCTGGCACAGAAGCTGCCGCTGTGGCAGCAGGCCTGTGCTGACCCCAACAAGATTCCAGACCGCGCCGTGCAGCTCATGCAGCAGATGGCCAGCAGCAATGGCTCCATCCTCCCCAGCACTCTGTCGGCCTCCAAGTCCAACCTGGTCATCTCAGACCCCATTCCGGGGGCCAAGCCCCTGCCGGTGCCCCCCGAGCTGGCCCCATTTGTAGGGGTGAGTCTTCGGCCTCCTGAAAGCTTTATGGGTGTGGGAGGATGCCCCCCTTTTGCCCCCGGTTGGCATCCCGTGGCAGCCGGGGCGCCTCTCCCAGAGTGAGGGGTTCTACACGCTGGCTCTGCCTGGGCCAGGCCCTTCCTGCAACGCCGTGCCCTTGCCGCCTCTTCTCGACAGCGGCTATCTGCCCAGGAGAACACGCCCGTCATGAACGGCGTCTCGGGCCCGGACAGCGAGGACTACAGCCCCTGGGTTGACCGCAAGGCCACCCAGCCCAAGTCCTCATCTCCTCCACAGTCTCAGAACAAGTTGAGCGACTCATACTCCAACACGCTTCCCGTGCGCAAGAGTGTGGGCCCGAAAAACAGCTACGCCACCAGTAAGGGCTCCACTGGGGGCTTGGCTGGGACCCTGGACCTGCTCCCCAAGCCCGCAGTAGTGATGCCACACCTGGGGGGAGGTCAGGGGGATCCACAAGCATGTGTGTGTGCATGTTGTGGCAGCACCCTGGGGACCCTTTTGAGATTTCGGTCCTGGACCCTTGGGCTTTGCCCGTGTCCCGGATTAGGTCTGACGAACGGTGGAGCCGTGACCTTGATGGGTGGAGCGTCAGCTCAGCCAGGGCCGGGAGCTGATGGATAGGGCTCGAGAGGGCTTTAGTTGACCATGAGACAGCTCCGCACCCCCGTCCAGCTCCCTGGGCTCTGCCTCCACATCTGCCATGGACAGCACCCTCACTCCCCCCACCAGCTTGTGAGGGTCTCCTAATGAGTATATGGGAAAGCTGAGGCTCAGGCCCAGAGAATTGCTCCCAGCTAATGGGTAGAAGGTCTGCAGCTGGATCCACATCCCCAGCGCCCAGGTCCTTCCAGAATCTGAGTACAAACGGCCCTGGAGGCCTGGCAAGCGTCCACCAGGATGGACAGTCCACTTCTAGGCCTGTCCAGGGCCTCTAGCATCTTACCATTGGGCAGCTGAGTCGACGGGTGGGTGACTGCACCCTTTACCTCCCCACTTGGGGCAGAGCATCCCCTCACGCCTCCCCTGTCGTTCCGACAGCCGAAAACAAGACTCTGCCCCGCTCGAGCTCCATGGCAGCTGGCCTGGAACGCAACGGCCGCATGCGGGTGAAGGCCATTTTCTCCCATGCGGCCGGGGACAACAGCACCCTGCTGAGCTTCAAAGAGGGCGACCTCATCACCCTCCTGGTGCCTGAGGCCCGTGATGGCTGGCACTATGGCGAGAGTGAGAAGACCAAGATGTGAGTGCCTCGGGCAGTGCCCATCCCCACACTGGCCGTCTGGGGGCCACAGGAGTGAGGAGGCCCCTCCTGCCCTGTATCAAGCTCGGGGACATCGGCCTCCTGACCCTGCGGCTCTCAGATATCCTGGTGGCTCTGGGTCCTTTTTCACACCGATTGTCCAGGTCACAGGTTTTCTCTGTAGAAAAACTGGGCCACGTGGACACACATGATGAGGGCTTTTCACGCACGGCAGTCTCCACCATTTGTCCAGCTCTGTCATCCCTCATCTCCCACGTCACTTAACTTGGCCCTGGGCCCCATGTGTGGGCAGTGTGGCACCTTCCCTGCTGTCAGGGGTGTGGCTTCCCAGTTGGTGGAGGCCAGCATTCAACCCCGCAGCCTTTCTGCTGCCCCCACATCTCCTCTGCGTATCTGATCAGCCCTCATATTTGGTTCTAGAAGTTATGCTGTCGAGTCAGATGAGCTGCACCTTCACAAATTAATGTAACACCTGTTGCCGAGAGGCTATGCCAGCATCTGTCTTGCTTGACCTGGGGGCTGCCCGGGTCAGGGGCTTGTCCCTTCCCGCTGCCGCCATTGTTGTCTGGGTGTGTCTATTGGTGAGAAGGGAGACCCCCACCCTGGAGCAGAACTGGCCCTGACTCTTTGGCTTGCCTTAATTAGGGAGGGAGTGGCTGGACTGAGCTCTGCTCTGGCCTCCAGGCAGCCACCGCCCTGGGAGGGGAGCTGTGAGGAGCAGGGCCATAGGTGGGCACCTCGGTTCCTGAACGCCACCACACCTGCCTCCCTTCTAGATGGCTCCTCTGGTGTTGGTGCCATGGGTCAGTGTGGCCACTTGGGGCTGAGGCCCTGCCCAGCCGGGCTGCGTGGTAGGAAACCAGCCTTGCCTGTCAAAGAAGGAGGATCTCTGCCTGGGGTTCCTGCGTGTTCCCCCCATCCTCACAGTGGAAGCGGCTGCCGGAGCTCCTATCCAGGGCGGGGCAACTCAGAGCCGGATGTACGCCCAGGGTCCTGACTGGGTTCTCCTGGTCTCCCTCCACAGATGGGCACAGCCAGGCCAGGGAACCAAGGGTACTTGGGGCCCCATGCTGGAACTTGGGGCCCCTGGTGCACTCTTACCTGGCTCTTCTCTTTTAGGCGGGGCTGGTTTCCGTTTTCCTATACCCGGGTCCTGGACAGTGACGGCAGCGACAGGCTGCACATGAAGTGAGTATGCTGGCTGGGTGGGGCAGCGATGAGAATGGGGCCCTGTAGACGGGTACCTCTGAGAGAGGCCCAGGCCCTCAGCACAGAGAGCTTGGCTGGGTTTCTGGTCTGTTCTCCGCCCCCACAGTACCACCCGCCACGGCCTGGCATGCTGTATGTGTGAGGCCCTTGGGGAGCACGGGTCTAGAGTTGCTTTGTGAGGAGGGGGGTCTGAGAACCTGGGGGAGGGGGACTCTCCTTGCCCCACACTGGGCCCAAGGTCACACCCCTGCTGCCATCTCCAGCGGGCAGGGTATGCAGGAGATTCCTGGCCCTTGAGAGAGCCAGAGAGTCACTGCTGGAGCCACAGAGGTGGGGGCTGAGCGGCTGTCGGAGGGTTGGGGTCACCATAGGACTCAGTTCCATGTGAGCTTCTAGAATTTTCTCCTGGCACACCCTCTCGTCCAATTCTGAGCAGGGAGGGAGGCCCATGGGATCAGTGTGGCTGCAACCGTGGCCGCCGAAGCAGCCTCTTGTCACGCCCTCTGTGAGGAGCCGAGGGAGGCGTGGGGAAGGTGAGGGGCTGGGTAGGGGCCAGGGGGCCTGCTGACCCTGCCTCTGAGCCCCGGTCCCCACAGCCTGCAGCCGGGGAAGAGCAGCAGCACAGGCAACCTCCTGGACAAGGAGGACCTGGCCATCCCACCCCCCGACTACGGCACGGCCTCCCGCGCCTTCCCTGCCCAGACGGCTGGCACCTTCAAGCAGAGGCCCTACAGCGTGGCCATGCCCGCCTTCTCCCAGGTGAGCGGAGGGCAGGGGCCTGGGCCGGAAGGGGCTTTTGCTGGGGGCTCTTGGCCACAGCCCCGTGTTGGCGCCTCCACTGGACATGCCTGGAGGAGACTCAGGGGTTTGGGCCTTGTGTCTACAGCCCTGCTGTGGCCGCCTTGTGGGTCACTGCCGGGCACCCTCTGCAGGCTCAGGGCTCCAGACGAAACACAGGTTCCCCTCTGCCTGCCCTTCCCTTGGGCTGGGGCATTGCGGGTCTTGAGACTGAGCCTGGGCATCGGGTAGGAGTTGGTATCCAGAGGCCCCTCCCTGAGAGCTGTGGGGCTCCTACAGTCATGGGTCCCAGTGCAGACCCGAGCACCTGCACTCAGGCCTGGAATGTGGCCGGAATCTTCTAGTTAACATGTCTCTGGGACCCACAGGAGGCAGGGCTGGGTGTGCGTGGTCAGGCCGTCCAATACCGAGTGGCCAGAGGTAGAAGCTCGAGGCTTAGGTCCTGGATGTGGGTCCCTGGCGGGGTCCCTGGCGTGCATGGCGGCCCTGAGGTCCAGGCAGGGCTGAGGTGTGAGTGTGGACAGTGTTCCCGCACGGCTCTGCCCTGGGAGGCTTTTGGGGTGTAAGGGGCCCAAGGCTTCAAGGACATTGGTCTGCTGTGGCTGCATGGCGGGCAGGGGCCAGCAGCTGTGCTCTGGGGGCCAGTCTCCAGGGCTGGGCCCTGGCTTGCGGGTTGGGGGCCTCCAGGCAAGAGAGAGAGAGAGAAAACAGAACCCCACATGTCCCCAAGACTTGAGCAGCCTGGGTGACCACCAGGGAGTTGACCCGACAGCCGAGGGCTCCCATGTTGACAGTGTGATCTGAGGCTCTACAACGAGTGACATTCGAGGTAGGCAAGGCCTAGGGAAGGGCCTGGGTACTAGTGGCCAACTCACCCTGTCCTGCACCATCCCAAACAGCCTTGCCCACCTTATGAGGAGGGCTTTGCTGGCACAAGCTTTCCAAGGCGCTGCAGACGAGTGTGCAGTTTAGGCAGCATGAACACGTGCTTTGAGACAAGTGGTGAGGAGGGAAAGCCTGGAGTGGTGTGACTGGGGCCCTTGAATGGAACCTTCTGGAGAAGGTGAGGCTGGAGCTGGTGCTCAGGGCAGCAGCAGGGAGAGGCTGATCCAGCCAGGGCACCTTGGGGTTACAGGGCCAGCCTGCTGGACAGTGAGACACTCTGGTACCATCCAGGCCACTCGAGCTCATGGGACAGCTGGCCAGGCCTAGAGGGGTCTGCCCACTGCTTGCTGCTCTCACTTCCCAGTCTGTGGATTTGGTTTTGGTGCTGAGAGAGCTAAGGAGGGTGTCCTCAACACCCCTCAGTGGCCCTGAGGCCAGGCCAGGCCAGCAGACATGTGGTAGCTATCCACAGCCCAGCCCTCAGCCCCTCGCCCGGGGGTTCCCCTCCTGGGCAGCAGCTCCTTCCCCAGTGTGGGAAGCTGCTCCTGGGGTCTGGGGGCTCGGGGGGACACTCGGCCCAGGGCCAGCCCAGGCTTCCTTGAGGTGGGCCTGCAGGTGACTGTGCACTGCAGTCAGGTCGTCCATTGTCCCCTCCCCCCCAACCTCACTGGTTTCAGGTCCTGGGATCCCGGGAGGCCACACCACCTGCCCTGACTGCTAGATAGCCCCAACCTCGCCTGCCCCAGTGCTTCTGGGAGACCGGCGTGGAAGGGGGTCAAGTGACCTGTCTTGTGTGTGCCCATGAGTGTGAGCTCACACATATGCATTCAGCTCCTGGCCACATGGGGAGGCGTCCTGGTGAATTTGGGAGGTCACTGCTGTAGGGGAGCAGTGCCCTCGGCTGCGGGCAGCACCGCACACTCTGGGGTCGGGAGGGGCACCCAGCCAGCCTGCTCCTGCCCTGGAGACCTTCCTTCACCCCCGGCACCCCCCCGGCCTGACCTGCTTCTGCTTTTCCCTCCCCAGGCTCTGGATGACTACGGGGCACGGGCTGTGAGCAGGTAAGTGGCCCTCAGATTCATCCTTGTGAGCTGTGAGGGGGGTGGGGAGCTGTGGGCAGGTGGGGAGTGGTCCCACTGGGGGCTCGTGGGGCAGGCTGCTCTCCTGGGCCCTCCATGGGGCCTGGCTGGAGCTCGTGGTGTCTCAACCCCGGGTCAGGTGAGTGGGCCCCTGGGGGCACTGTTCTCTGTCTCTCATCCCGCAGCCCCCCAGCCCTCTCTAGGACAAGGGGTCTGAGGGCTGGATGCCCTGTCCAGAGGCAGGGGCCCAGGGGCCCGGGGTATCGCCAAGTGGGAATTAGCGCCTCCCAGGCGCTGCCTTCGTGCTCTCACCGGTAGGGGCGGGGGCGGGCCCTGTGCCTGTGCCAAAGCCGGGGACCCACCCAGCCGTCCCTGGGGCTCCCGCTTTTTCCCAAGTGGGCCCCTGGGCTGCCCACGGCCACAGCAGGAGGCTTCTCGGCCCAGTTTTTTTCCGGCCCTGCTCTTCCTTGTTCATGTGCAGGCCTGCCTCGTCCACTCTTGGCTGGGAGGGGGCCCGCCTGCCCCTGGGCTCATCTCCTCAGCCCAGCCGGCACAGACGGCTGGGCTGCTGCCTTCTGTGCCCCTTGCCTGGGCTTGGCGCTTGTCCTGGCTCCGGGGCTTTTCCCACCACCGCTTCTGCAGAGCCAGGTGGCCGGGTGGCTGCTGACCCTGAGCCGCTGAGAGGGCTGCTGCAGGGGAGGCGTACGGCCTGGCAGCTGTCCTGTACTTTGTTTCACAGCGGCAGCGGCACGCTGGTGTCCACAGTGTGAGGACGCTGACCACGGGCAGCTGCTGCTCTGAGGAGCTTCTGCCCCACCCCACCTGTCTGGTCTCCATCAGTTTCCTCTTCAGCTCTCGGTGGTTTGTTCTTGGGTTATTTCTCTGTTCCACCTGCTCCCTCCCTGCCTTTTGTTTGGTGATCCCAGACTCTGTGATCCCCCAGGGTCCATGGTGCTGCCCCATCTCTGCTCCCCGTGTTTACATGCCCCTCCCCCGTGCGTCCCGCCAGGCGGGACCCGCGGGCCGGGCAGCACGGGCGGGTGTCCTCGCCTCTGCTCGCCGTCTGTCGCGTTCATGACACACTGTCTCTTTTCAAAGGCTCACTGTGAGCCAGGTCTAAAGTTTGAAGAAAAGGAAAAATCATAAAAAAAAAACACAAAACAAAAAGATGAAAAACAGGAAAAGGACTTTTTTTTTCCTGAAAAACAAAAACACATTTGCATGGACTCCGGTGTACGTACTGTTATTTCTGCATCCGACTTCCCCCAGTGCACACTGGCCTCTGTGTCAGGAAAGGAAGGTGCTGGGGGCTCCGAGAGGCTCATGGCCCCATGGGCACCCTGCCGAGGGCTGCACCCAGAGAGGGGCTCGTGCTGAGCTTGGGCGGCCTCCTGAGGAAGCTGGCCGCTCCTGTGAGGGAGGCCATGGCCCCTGGCCCCACCCAGCCCACCAGGCCAGGCTCCCTTCTCCGCGGTTGCTGTTGGATGGTGTACCGAGACCAGGGCGCGGGCGTCATTAGCCGGGCCTTCTGACCTCACGCAGTGCACTGGCGGGGAAGGGGTCAGGAGCAGGCGCTGCCTGGCCACAGTCGGACGTTCCAAAGACCTCCAGAGACCACCCCTCACCCCCACGTGTTCTGGAAATCGTTTCTTTAACCAGCCTTGTGAAGAGTGGCAGCTGCACAGGGCAGGGGTGTGGCCCGGCCTGGCGAGGCTGGCCCGCAGGAGGGTGGCTTCAGGCCCGACGGCCCCTCTCCCACCTGGGGGAAGCAGGCAGCCCCTGCCCTGTCCTAAACGCTCTCATCTTTTCGTGTGTCTCGGTGACTTAAACAGAGACGCTGGACTCAGTGGCTACTGGTACTCCCTCTTCGCACCCTTAATCTGGGAAGTGAGCCCCGAGGGTGCAGCCTGCCCGGCCCTTCCCGCGGGGCCTGGGCAGCCGTGGCCGCTCCTTCTCTGCCGTGCTTTAGTGTCCAGTTCTCCCGTGAACTAGGATGCAGCTGGTGGTGTCTTTGAGAGAAGCAGCTCAAGACTCAGACAGACCCCTTTTATATTTAAGGAAAAAACAAAGCCAGAACATGGACCTATGTAAAAAGAACCTCTGTGGTGGTGGTCTAATTTTGCTAAAAGATTTCATATCCGGGGGACTCCATGTTCAATGGAAGAATGTAGACACAAAACCGCAAAACTTGTATGAAGATGTAAAGTGCTGAAAATTATATTTCCTGTTTCCTTTTTTTTTTTTAATCTGAATTGTGCCCTGTACCACAGTCGTTTGAATAAAAGTTTTATTTATTGCATCGAGTTGGGTGTGGCGCCTCCTTCCAGCCCTTGCATGTGGAGCCTGGCCACCCCAGCAGGCCAGCCTCCATAGAACCACCGACTGGCAGACAGCGCCGGCCCGCACTGCTCTCCTGGAGTGGCAGCTGGGTTGGCCCCCCGCCCCAGAGGAGAGAGCAGGGCCACTGGTCCTGACCCAGGGACGCCCTGCCTGTGCTGGTGTGCCCTTTGTGCCCCTCCCTGCAGACGCCCTCCCAGGGCTGGAGAACCAGCTCTCTGCCCTGCGGCTGGTGTCCTGTGCTCCTGGCAGTGTGCACCAGCCGCCAGGCGTCCCCCAGACTCCATCCAGCCACTGCGTCCTCACACCCACCCCCTCCACCTGCACCAACTGAGCCCTTGTGTTTCCTTGCAGCGCCGATGTGGAAGTGGCCAGGTTTTGAGCTGCCCTGACTAGAGTTAGTAAGTTGTTCTGGTTTTCTTGTGCTAGTCGTTCTGTGTTCTCAGCGGCTCTGGCAGACCCCCCGGCCTCAGGCAGGGGTGGGGCCCGAGGGTCTGCCGAGCCTGCCTCTGCTTTTGCTCTGGGCCTCTGCTTCACTTTGGATCCCTCCTTGGGCTCTTGGATTTTCTCCCTGTCTGGAAGCTTGTGGGTCTGACTCGCCGCCCCGCCACTGTGCCCCCTGCCCGCGGCACCCCCCCCCACTGCTGGGCACGGTCTGGCCCTGGCCCTCTGCCGGGTTTCTTTCCTGCCTCTGTTGGGTGCTTTGGCCACAATCTGGGTGAAGCCTGTGATCAGCTGCAAGGCTGGCTTTGGGCCCCTTTGAGTGTCCCTTTGGACCGGCCCCCATGGGCATGGGTCTGAGCCTGGCCTGGCTGGCTCCCAGGCTGGTGAGTATTGCAGCCCCCATGGGGGCTGGGGAGACCAGGGTGGGGTCCTGGGGACAGCTCCATGGCTCGTGCCCAGGCATGCCGGAGCAGGAGCACGCCTCCACCCCGCTGGGGACAGGTGGATACAGTGGCTCTGCTGCCCACTCTGCCCGGGCTCGCCTCACCTCTGCCCTGACATGGCTCCAAGAGGCTGTGCCAGGCTTCCCAGACCAGGCCCTTGGCTGCCACGCGTGCGTGCCCTCACCAGCCTTCTCTGACCCCTTCCTGGTGACTGTCCCGTCCCCTAGGTCCTCGGAAAGTGAGCAGCGATGGCTAGTGGGAGAGGGAGGAGCTTACCACCCTGGACTCCTATGCTGGGTCACGACGACACGGCTGCCCATCTGTCCCCACTCCCAGCCCCAAATCACTGAGGGGTTGGCCACGTGAAGGTCGCACTTCAATCCTTTATAAAGGATGGTGATCACTTTACCCCGCTGGGTGTCACGGCAATGCCGTCCTCCCTGTGGGCAGCCAGACTATTCCAGAGATCCTGGACTTGCCCTTTCCTGTCATTGCCTTTCTGCTGGCAAACTGGCGTGAGTTCTGGAAAGTTCTGGCAACAACTGCTCCTGAGATTGGGGGATGGGGTGGAAATGCCTTTGACTCTGGCTTAGCAGTGGGTGACCCTGGGCCACCCTCCTTCCCTGCCTTAGATTCTTCCTCTTCTGAGATGCTCTGTCTGAGAAGCCTGCATGTGCCACCTCCGGACTGTGCAGACCCCCCACCTTTGCTGCTCCTTGGCCCCTCTGAGCTGGTGGGGCCAAGCTGTGCCTGAGGGAGGCACGGGAAGGGCTGAAGGCTCAAGGACCACGTCCCTTGATGTAAGGCAGACCTGGGGGGGTGCACTCAGCCCCAGGAGCATGCTGCACAGCGCCACTGGCAAGTTTCCCAGCGGCACCGAGTCTGCCTGGCCCAACTAGTCAACTAGGGGTGGAGTGTCCAAACCCATCTCTGGTTGGTTGAGGGACCCTGCCCAGCTTTGCCTGAGCTTACAGCCCTGGGAAGGGGGCTGGGAACAAGAACAACTCAATTCCAGAAGGGCTGATGTTCTGAAGTCATGGAAAAACCACTACGTCTTAAGAGGAGAAAGTGGAAATGTATGCAATAATTGCTGTCTTCGCTGCCTCTCTGCTCCGGAATCACCAAAAGATGGAAGTCGCGCTTTACAATGACTTGGCTGTTCTCAGAATTACCTTGTTTCTTACTCAAGTAGTGGATTCAGAAAATAACCTTAAATGATTCTCTCAAATCCGCAGTGACGTGCTTCATGAGCCTGGAATTGAACGCTGCTCCACTGCAGGCTTCGACCCTCCTTAGGCTATAGGGGTTTGCCAGGGGCAGAAGCAGTGGGGTCGGGACCCCTGTGCCACTCGGTGTCCCTGAGGGCTGCCCAGGAGGCAGTGCTGAGGTAGCCCTGCCTCCTTGAACTCCAGCCCGACACACCCTTCCCCAGGAGGGGTCGGGCTTGTGCTTCCCTGAGCCAGGGACTCCAGGCCTGGTCTGTGCTGTGAGTGGAAATCCATTCTCTGTGTAAAAGCCACCAGTCATCCCCGCATCCCTGCTCAGGAGCTCCTCAGGGAGGGGACAGAGCCGCGCCCCTGGCGTTCTTCAGCCAGTGTACCCGTGCGCCCCCCAGGGGAAGAGCCCCACTCTGCCCCTGGGCTTGGAGCTCTTGGGCGGGCATTGCTTGTTGACTTTCTTTTCTGGCACGAGAGGAGCTTGTTTTGTGTCTTGGTTTGTTGTCCATTGATCATCCGCCTACAGTGCTGTTGGGAAGAAGCCTCATTGCTCGGTGTCCTCCCCCCAGCAGTGACAAACGTCCACAGGACGGGAGAATCTGCAGTGGCCTTGGGTCCACATCTTGTCCTGTTGTGTCATTGCAGTGTTAGACCTGAGGCCCCCGTCCGGGGTCACACGGGTACCTTCCCCTGGGGTAGCTCCTGAGCCCGTTCTTTCACGGAACATTCCAGAAGGTGGTGGGCACCTGAGGGGGCTGCACCCTTCCTCTGATGCTGAGTGGTGGGAGGGTCCTGCCCTGGGGTCTCTGGCCAGAGCTGCAAGGGGGCTGCAGGAGGGAGCTGTTCAGTAGGCCGAGCACTTGCAGCCCCCGCCCGCTCCCTTAGAACCGGCAGTGTGCTCCATGGTCACACTGTTCTAGGGGGAGGAGATAAGAAAAGTGTGGGTCACAGGCCAGACCCCCGTCCGGGGAGACCTTTTGGGCCCTGCAGCTCCTTCTGGCCCTGGCGGACAATGATGCTTTGCCCTTGGCCCTTTCTGATGAGAATTTGGGTGTGTCGGGACCCGAGTAAGGGGTATACTACCTAAACCCACTTGGCCATCCTGCCCCCTGCTCTGGTCAGCACGGGAGTGGTCCTCTCCTCTCTGGGGCCAAGGTCTGCGCTCCTTCCTCGGCTCGGTCCCTGATTGTAGACGGACAAACCTGCCTGTTTCCAGCCCCCCAGGACCTCCTGCCTTGACCCTGGTTGGAGACAGCCGAGACTGTCCCCCTAGAACCCGCCCCCAGAACCAGAGTCTGTAGTTTAGGTGATAGTCAGGGCCTGGGCCATCCTCCATCCTCTACCCCGGGGCAGATGTCACTGTTCCTGGTGGCCCTGCCCGTGGCCAGTGTGGCTGAAGCTCGTCTGCACGGATTAGAGCCGAGAGAGGCCCCAAGCAAGCGGAGCCTGCAGCCCCACAGGGGGCTGGACACAGCCTTTAATCCGGGGTTGAGTCGTGCTCTCAAGCAGAAGACACTCGTCATCGGTGTGCGTGAGCTGCCACACTCTCAGATGTCCTTGTGGAGATGCAGAAGCCGTGCGTCGACGGGTCAGCGCCTCTCAATAGTTTATCCTTTTAAAACCTCAGTCCACAGAGTCTCCGTTTTTTAGAAAACCCCAAGTTCTCAGGAAAATACAGGGCTCTCTTCCTGGGCACACTGGAGGAGGCATCCACCTGCCTGTCCAGCTCCCGTGGATGCCCGGCCGAGCTGTGCCAGAGGCGACTCCTGCCCAGGTAACGGCTCCAGAGCTGAGCGCTTCGCTGGGAGTGCGGTCCTGTCCATGCCGAGCCATCCGTGTCCCACCTGCCATCCGTGCTGTCAACCCTGGAGCTGTCTGACGTCCCCTGGCCTGCTGTCTTGTGCTGTCCCTGCCCAGGCAGGTCCTCCTGAGCCTGCCAGGGACTTCAAGGAGGAGAGGCTTCCGTGAGGACCAGGACCCCCATCAGTGCTTATCTCGTTCCATCTCAGCCTCTTGTCTGGCTAGTCTATCTGTCTGTCTTGGGCATGCAGGGGAGGGCGTGGCTGCCCTGGGGTGACAGGTGGCTGACCTCTCAACGAGGAGGTGGTCAGCCCCTCTGCAGGGGGCCACAGGTGTCCACCCCTGCCAGCCCTGTCGCTGCCAGTGTGCCTGCGCCTCGTGTCTGTTGTGTCGACATGGGGCAGGCCGAGGCCCGTGTCTGCTCCTGGCCATCTTCCTGGCCCCATGGGGATGCATGGGCCGGGCTTGTGTGGCTGCTGAGCTATGTTTCTGTGTGTCAACAGGCGCGTCCTCGCCAAAGGGCTCAGCTGCTGTTCTCAGGCAGACAGCGGGTGGGCTGCTTGGCCTTGTGGGGCCACTCACCAAACTCAGACGCAGGCCCCTTTGGGACTGCTCGGGTTGCTGAGAAAGAACTGGCCCCCAGTGCAGAGGTGGAGGCTGCAGTGGGGTCCCTCCCTCACGCCCACCCACCCTGCCCTGGGAGGGTTGGCAGTTCGAGGTGTGGGCGCAGTGGGGGTGAGCAGAGGCTGGTACATTGGAGGTCAGCTTGCCTTGCAGATGGCACCCTTTCCTGCCTCTGCCCTGCAGCTTCCATTGGCCACCAGCTCTGAGCTTGGAGGCTGGGCCATCAGGGTCTGGGTTGAGGCCATCTGCAGGGCTGGGGGCCCCAGGGGTGTAGGGCAGCTCACAGTGCCCGCCCTCGACACTGAAACCATTCTTCTCTTCTCTCCTCAGGAATCCCTTTGCCAACGTCCAGCTGAAGCCAACAGTGACCAATGACAGGTCTGCTCCCCTTCTCAGCTGACAGCCACGTCTGCACCCGCTGCCCGTCAGGCCCCTCCTCCTCCACCCCCACCTGTAACCTATTTTGTTATAATCTGCGTGATCTCTGTTTAGAGTATTTTCTTCTCCTTCCAAACCCTTCACCTGCCCAGAGCTCTGCCCCCACTTTAGTCTGGCCTGGGCTGGACCCTAGCTGTTCCTGTGGAGGTGGCACCTGGCACCCGGAGCCGGGACCTGCTGGCTGGGCTGTGGGGCTGGCCTCCCAGAGCAGGCACATCTGGTTGTGCAGGCCGTTAAGCCTACCAGGTTGCGGGGAAGGATACTATGTCAGCTTGTAGCTGGAAGGAGAGCCCAGCTTCCACGCTGCTCATAGCTCCTAAGTGTCTGGTCAATAAACAGGCTGCCCCCCTGTGCCTAGCTGTGATCTGTGATCTCTGCCTGTGGGGGCAGAGGCCTGGGGTGCAGGGACTGGGAGAGCCTGCCACCCTTCTTTGGAAGATGAATTTATTATGAGCACTTAAATTCCTGGGTCCGGACCCCAAGCTGTGCGCCATTGCGGGGGCGGGGGGTCCTGCCCCGCCCCAGGATTCCTGGGTGGGCCCCCCTCTGCACCCCAGCTGCTTCCATATTTCAGCTGAAATAGAGGCTTTTGGAAGCTTTATTATAGGATCCATGCTATTTGATATTTGTGGCTGAAATACAGCCATGGTAACCACGCTGGTGGCAGCAGTCCTCACCTGGGGAAAAGCTCCAGGCAGAGCTCACTCCTCCGAGGACCCCCAAGGAGGGGTTCTGGAGCTCTGAGCTGCCTGCAGCCTGCCCACACCCCAGGACAGGAAACACAGTGGGCGGAGGGCCCAGGTGGGCACACAGCCCTCTCACCTTACAGAAGCTGGAGACAGGCCCAGTGCAGGAGGCGGGATCACAGGGCAGACGTTTGGGGTGGGGGATGCACAGGAGCCCCAACTCCTCAAAACCCTCCTGCTTCCCAGCTCCCCTCCCGGCCCGGTGCTGAGGGACGGGCGTGGCCCCCTGCAAAGGCAGGGGGAAGAGCTTCTCAGGGAGGTCTGTGGGTCCCCCTCCTCATCCTTACCTAGGCAGAGCCAACTGCAGGGCAGGAAGAGAGGGCTGCAGGGGGCAGAACTCCCTGCTCTGGGCAGACCCCCACCGGGCACATTGAGGGCCCAGGTCACCGTCTCCCTCCACCAACCTGTACCATGGACAGCGAGGGGGAAGGGGCCACTCCCTCCTGCACCCCACTCCCCACAGTCAGGAGGGACTACTGTGCCTCCCCAGGCAGAGCTGGCAGCAGCGTCCCCACCCCAGCACGGCCCCTGCCCACTCCTGCCCAGGGCTTTATCTGCAGGCCCCAAAAGAAAACACAAGCTTAGCACAAAGGCTTTTTTTCCTTAGCCTGATTTCTCTTAAAAAACAAAGAACAAGAAAATCATTGCACCAGCATCCTAAGCCTCAAACTAATAAAACTAATAAAAAACCAAACCACAAACCCCAACCGAGTCACCCACCCACACCCCCGAAGCAACAATAAACTTTACATCTCTTTGGCAACAATAACTTAAGATCATCCCATTTCCAGTCGCTCGGACAATATTGGTTACAAAAATAGTCCCTGTGCTGCCCTGCCCCCACCCTCCCTCCCTCCCTCCCAGCTGCACCCTTCCCACTGTCCACATCCCTGCAGACAGGAGCCCCCAACACGGACTGTGGGGTGCAACCCCCACTTTCCTTTGGCAGCTGGGCCGGGCTGGGCAGTGCTCTGCGGAGGGGAGCTGCCTGCACCAGCCAGCCACGGGCACCTCTAGAACAGGGCCGTGGTGGCAGGGGTGCCCACCCTGGCCCACCTGCCTGGGCTCCAGCAGCGGGACCCAGGTGTGAGCCAGCCCAAACCCTTGGGGAGGGAGAGCTTACAGGTCTAGCTGAGTCAATGAAGGGGAAATACAGCCACAGACTTTGAGGTAAGGGTGGCAGGGGACACATGAGCCCAGAGTCCTCTTCTTTTACTGAGCAAACCCAGAACCAGGCAGAAAGGGCAAAGGGGGCGAGGAGAGGCCATCCCGGCAGGCTTGCACCTGCTCTCTTGTGGGGTGAGGACACAGCATCCCACAATGCGTGCAGGAGCCAGGTGGCAGGGCGTGCGAGTCTCCCCAGCGAAGAGCAAGTACCCTGGACTCAGAGGCCAACCGGTCCGACCGTGGCAGCCAGGGTAGAGAGGCAGCTGCAGGGTGGGGAGCGCCAGGGCCCCGGGCAGTAGGGCATCCCTAGGGGGTAGCAGCAAACTTGAGTGTCCAGGACAAATCCTGCCCCCAGGGCAACACAGGGCTGGTGTGCACGGCAGCTCCACTGTCCAGGGCCGGAGCGGGGCCTCTCATCAGGCCCTGCTCCTCCAGGGCACTGCATGGGGCACTGAGGTGCTGGAAGCTGCTGCTGACCGCCGACAGGACTGCGGTCCCCACTCACTCTGGGTCACTGTCCTCGCTGCTTCCTGGAGCAGGACCAGCAGCAGCTCTGGCGACACCGGCCTCCAAGCGGGGGGCCACCTTGGTCTCAAGCCTCTTGACAGCTGCCCCCAGCACCTATTGCAGAGCCTGGCAAACAGAAGGGGCCATGTGAACGTTTGGGGAGACACCAGAAATACAGGGACTCCTGAGAGGACCCTGCCCTCTAGGGACAGCCAGAGACTCCTCCCCCCAGGACTCCAACCTGGCCTTGATCCCTGGCCTCAGGGCCACTGACTGGCTGGGGCAGTGGCCCTTAGACCCCTTCACTGCAGTAGGTCTGCCTATTGTCTAGGAGGGAGCTGGACCTGTTTCTTTTCCCACTGCATCAAGGCTCAGGCCCAGGCTAGGGTCTGTCCCCCAGGCCCAACAAAGCTCAGTAAACGCCCTCCAAGTCTTCCTTTTACAGGTAGGGAAACTGAGTTCCGAACAGGACAAGGCCAGGGTCACGCACTCATCTCCTGTGACCTGCTTATTTGCTCAGACATCTGCTGAGGGCCCCACTGTGTGCCAGGGACAGGCCAACAGGCCCTTCTCCAGAGGCTGCAGCCATAGTCCAAGGGCAGCAGGGGAGAGGCTGGGTCTGCCAGGGAACAAGATGGCTGGGAGGCTTCTCGGTGGAGGTGGGCTTTCAGGGAAGCCCAGCAGAAGGTGAAAGGACTTGTCAGGCACAAGGGTGGGGGCTATGTGTGGGGCCACCCTGGTAGGGATGACCTGCCTGGTCTGGGGCAACAGAGAGTGCACCATGGAGGGAGGGGTGACCTAGGCCCTGGAGAGGGGCCCCACCTGTGCACTTTAGCCACCTCTGAGCAAGAGCCGTCAGATCTGAGATGGGTCAGGTCCTGAACCAACGGCAGGGGGTAGAGGCAGTGGCTGAGGCAGCCCAGCAGGGGCTGGGAAGGTTCTGGTGAGAGAGGCCGCTGCAGGTTTTAGGGAGCTAAGGTCAGGCAGAGAGCAGGGCGGGGGTGCTCAGTGTCCAGCCTGGTGCCTCAGTAGGAGGGAAAAGAGGGTGAGGTCTGAGGACCAGGCAGCATCCAGTCTAGGCCCTGGGGCTCAAGGAGGTGCCAAGCCAGCTGTGTCTGGGACACTGCATCTCCCCAGAAGGCAGGCAGGCAGGCGAGGCCACGCCAAGGTGACCAGAACAGACAGGCCCGGCGTGACCTGACCTCTCCCGAACCTCAGTTTCCCCGTCTGAAAACTGAGCTTGTTTTCAGATGAGAAATAATGAGCGCACCCGGCCGCCCTCTCCACTGCCCGTCTCAGTGTCCCCTCCCGCCAGCCCCGCCGAAGCCTCACCTCCCAGGGACCTGGCGTCCGAGTCGGAGACGTGCGTGATCGAGAAGCGGGACGCGGGCGCGGGCGACACGGTGAAGCGCGAGAAGGGGCGAGGGGCTGCCGGCTTAGGGGGCGCGGCAGCGGCGGGCGGGGCGGGCTCCAGGGCCGGCGCCAGCGGGAAGCCGTCTTCCCACTCGAACGCTCTGCCTGCAGGCCGCCCGCTGTCATTCGGGGCCGCGACAGCGCGGGGGCGATGGGGAGGGCGGGGGCGATGGGGAGGGCGGGGGCGATGGGGAGGGGGGAGGCGCCTGTCCGTGACGTCACGGCCCCGCCCACCCGAGAAATCACCGCCCCACCCCCTTGGCGTACCCCCGCCCCCAGCTCACCCGCTTCCGCCGCGGAGCCATCCGGGGAGCAGTCGACCCGCCGCGGCCGGCCCGGGGCGCTGGAGGAGCCGGGGCTGCCCGCTGGAAACGCGGGGGGCGACTCCTTGGCGCCGAGGAGGGGCTCCCCGAGCTCCCTGGTGGGGCTTTCCTGGAGGATCAGAGCAGCACGTGGCTCGGACCGCCAGAAGCGGCCACTCCCACCGCTTCCCGTCCCGCGCAGAGCCCAGGACGGCAGCCCACCTGGTCGAAGAGGTAGACAGTGACGTCGTCGAAGAAGGACACGGCTTTCTTCTTGCGCTCCAGGTCCTCGCAGAAGGCCTCGCTCAGCAGGCTGGGCATCTTGAGCAGGCTGCGCAGGTTGCGCGCGCTCTGGCTCTCGGCCACCACCACGGGCACGGGCGGCGCCTCCTCCTCGCTCTCCTCGCTCGGCTCCTGGATGCTGTAGCAGCGGAGCTCCTCGTCTGACTCGTCGCTGTCATCGCTGTCCTCCTCCTCCTCCTCCGACGGGCCCTCCGGGGCTGCGGGGAGTCCCGGCAGGGCCAGGCAGAGTGGGGCTCTGGGGGCGCCCGGCCCCGCTGTCCGTTCCTTCAGGGCCGGCCCCGACAGCAGTCCCGGGGCCTCATGGAGCTCTGCGCGGTGGCTCTCTGAGCTCGGCGGGACCGGGGTCAGCAGGAAAATCTTGGAACGCCCGGGGCTGGGCACCGGCGGCACCTGGGCTGAGCCTAGGGCCCAGGGAGTCTCCTGCTGGGGGCCGGCGGCACAGGCCCTTGGCTCTGGGCAAGAGACTTCAGGCAGCAGCAGTGGCCGCACCTCCCTGGGGCCAGCGCCCTGCGCCTCTGTGGACACCCCAGGCTCAGAGGAGGGCTGTGCAGGCTGCAGCCCAGGGCTCTGCGGGCTCTCCACGTCCGGCTCTGGCCCTGGGGCCAGAACACCTCCTGGCTTCTCCATGGGGCCCAAGGGGGTCTCCGGCTCGGTATCCAGGTCTGAGAAGTAGGCCGAGTCACGGTAGGGGTTCTTCTCACTGAGGCTACCGAGGGAGGCGGAGAGCTGAGTCTCAGGCCCGGGGCTCTCACCCTCTGAGGCGAGCTCCCCAAGGGCCTCAGGCTCGCACAGCTCATGCGCCTCCTTGAGCACAAACTCGGGAGACTCATAGTTTTCCGTGTCATAGCCACTGTCTAGGGCTCGAGGCTGCCCACCAGGGGTACCAACAGCCGACGGGCTGAAGACCTCACAGCCGCCATCACTGGCTGAGGATGGGATGTCCAGCGAGTCCAGGGAGTCAGGAGTCCCCACCTGTTTCTGCAGGGAGCGGAAGGCCGCTGTCACATCTGGCTTCTCGGCCTGTGGGCCATCGCTGGACAAGTCAGTGAAGATGCCAGAAGTGGCCTCAGTAGTGTCGTCGTCCTCACTGCCTGGTGCCTCCAGCTCGGAGGAGCTGCTGCTGCTATTCAGGGTCTGGATGGGCTCCATGGCAGTCAGGTGGCTGCCAGCGGACGTGGGAGAGGCAGGTAGGGCAGTAGGGGCGCTGGCCTCCTCAGCGGGAAGTGGGGCTCCCTCTTGGGATGGGGATGGGATGGAGGGAAGGGGCAGTTGGAGTCCAGCAGAGCCCTTGGCCTTCGCTGCAAGCCTGGGCTCTGCCTGGGGGCTGTCACCCTCGTTTACAGCTGCCTCTGTCCACGGGGGTGTGACCAGGCAGGTGGCAGGTGCCAGGCCTTCAGCAGGACACAGATCGGGGAGGCCAAGGCAGCAGCCTGGCTCCTGGCCAGAGGAGGTCCCCTTTGGCCCAAGGAGAGGCTCTCTGGGGTTCTCTGGGGCTAGTGGGGGGCCCAGCTCAGGGTCAGTCTGTAGGATCTGCTTCACGCCGGGGCAGCAGTCCATGTAGCCACCTGCGTAGCCCGGGTCCCAGGACTCTGGTGCTTGGCTGCCACTGTTGTTGTTTGCTGACACGTTGGAGCTCCAGTGTCTGTGCTGGGCGGCCCTGTGTGCCTCGGCCTCACCCAGCTCCTCCCCGCCTGGGGACAGCCGGGCCCCAGAGCTCCCCAAGGGGGACATGCCCAGCGAGTCCTCAAAAAAGGGCGGGCAGAAGGCGGTCGAGCCCCAGTTGACATCCTCGGCTCCCGGCTCCGCCAGCGTCAGGGCCCCGGGGGAGGGCGATCGCGAGGGGCAGGGCAGGTCCCGGGCACGACTCCTGCACAGGTAGTAGTCGCAGTGGCCCCAGGGGCCATCAGCGGGCAGCGCGTGACCCAGCAGTGGTTCCATGGCTAATGAGGCGACTGGGCTGCAGTTGGAGTCGTCATCGTGGTCACCGTCGTCAGGGTGTGAGGCCGTGGTGCAGGGGCTAGGGGCACAGCCAGCGCAGTCAGGGTCATGGCCGGCAGTGGGCGTGGGCTCCTCCAGGCGGATGAAGTACTCGCTGCCCACCGAGGGACTGTGCGCACTGAGCACGGGCACCACGCCTGGGGGCGCGCCATCAGGGGCACAGAGCTCTTGCAGGCGTGTGGCGCGGCCGGGACTTGCGATCCCTGGCGGTGGGAAGGCCTCGGCGCTGCGGCCCACCTCCCACTTGTACTCGAAGTTAAGGCCGCGGCTCGTCTCAGTCACCGTCAGCACATCGTCACCGTCTGCGTGGAAGCCGTCGCCGGCGAACTGCTCCAGCAGCGGGAAGGATGAGGCGACAGCGAGTTCACCAGTGCCGCCCAGTGCCAGGCCTGCTGCCCCGGGCCCAGGACCCGTGCCGCCCGCGCCCGGCCGCAGCGAGCGCCAGCGCCGCTCGAACTCCTCCTCGGCCTCAGTGGAGCCCTTGGTGCACAGGTAGGACAACAGCAGGTGCACCTCCTCGGCCGTGGGCCGCTGCTCTGGCTGCAGCCAGCAGAACTGCATCACCTCGTACCTGTGGAGAGGCAGGCCCGGGCTCAGTCCCCGCCCATGGTCCCCACCCGCCCCCAGGGTGGCGCCGCCCAGCCCCTGAGTGGTGAGTCCGTCTTCCCTCAAGGGGAAGGTCTGCTGTCCTCTCCTCACACTCAACATCCTTTGAGGGCAGTTAAGGGAATCTCCCACATAATTAAACTCAACCCCAGATCTCCCCAGGTAGGCTCAGCCGTTTGGGAACTGGAAGCGTGTGGGGCACTTTTCCCTCAGGTCATCCCAGACCTGCCTGCAGGAGCGTCTGTGTTTTAGGCAAAGAGGCCATTTCCCTTTGAGCAGGAGGTGGGGCCCAGAGATCACTGCCGGCCAGAGGGCAGCCAGGGGACCAGGAGGAGCCGCTACCCCTGGGCACTTGCAGCGGCCCTCTTTGCCTCTGCCTCCCTGCTGTCCCCCCGCCCCCTCCCACCTGGCGGCCCAGGCCCTCACCAGCGGTCGGACAGGGTCAGCGGCAGCTGGGGCTTGGGCAGCTTGAGCTGCTGCTCCCGGACGGCATAGGCCAGCACCTGCCGGTCAGAGTGCTGGGGGTAGGGCTGCGTGCCCAGCTCAAAGAGCTCCCAGATGGTCACGCCGAGGGACCTGCGGGGGCGACGGCCGTCAGAGGGGCTGGCATGACCAGCCATGGCACGGGCCACACACGATCCCAGCACCTCAGAGCCCTGAGCACCAAGGGGCAACTCCCGTCATCACACCAGCTTCTCGAGATGCCCCTCCCAAAAGACGGTGCCTTTCTTCAGTAAACAGGCGGGACTGACCACCTGACCAAGCCCAAGCCCGTGCCCAGGGTGCCTGGGCAAATCGAAGCCAGACTGGCCTTACATGGACCCAGGTCCATTCTTTTGTTCGTTCATTCATTTCTTGCCATGGAAAACCAGACCCTGTACCAGGTATAGGAGCTGCCCTGGCGAAGCTCTCAGTCCTGCCAGGCCCCGGTGGAAGCTGGAAGAAGGGAATGGTGCCGAGGCGGTGAGGCTGAGGGTGGGGCGAGCCTAGGGACGTCCCAGCCCAGCAGGGGTGGGCCACGGGGCCGGAGCATGCGGGGCTGGGAAAAGGCAACTGGGTTCTTCACGCAGTGGGTGGTGGCTTCACGTAGTTCCTTGGGACCCCAGGCTGTCCCTGGAAGCTGGAGTCATGAGGGACAGAGCAGATTGGGCAACAGAGAAGTCACAGTGGCCTTGGCCCAGGCCATCTAGGGGACCGCAGCCAGCATGCAGCAGGGGAGGCAGGCAGGGGAGGGTCAGCTGGATGCAGAGGCAAGGCTCAGGGAGGGCAGGCAGTGTCCCTGACGGGGGCACGGGTAAAGGGCTCAGGGGAGGGCCCCTGGAAAGTTCAGGAAGGGGGGCTGGTCCACGGATCCAGGCTCTGAGGGTTCTTCAGGAGCAGAGGGGAGGCCAGACCAAGGCCTAGGGGGCTGGGAGGAGGCGGGAAGAGAAAGCAGAGGCTGGTCAGGACAGGAGACCACCATGGTGGAGCCTGTGGAAGTCTGCACCTTCCAGTTCTCAGGCCAGCTCGGACCCTGGCCTTGTGGAGCCTGCAGTACTGGGTCTGAATGCCCACTCTGTGCCCAGCTCAGTGTCTCCAGGCTGCAGTCCTGGGAGATCCCCAGCCCCTACCAGCCCCTTTCCACGGGCACAGGTGCCATGCGCTCACCCCCCCACCCCACCCCTCATCAGTATAGCCCTAGAAGGCTCTCCATCCTAAGGTGTGCTCTCACTCAGATGTCTGGGGGCGTCGGCCCAGTGGGTCCTGGGAGGAGCGGGACTTCCTCCACAGGCCCCACTGCCCCACCAACCCAGCCGCTGTGGGCCACTGGCAGCGGGTAGCCACAGGTGGCTCCAGCACCCCCATGACCTCACTTGGGGACATGTTTGGCCACCTCCTACAGAGCAATGAGATGGACAGAGGAGCACGTCTTCGCACCCATGGCCTTTCTTTGAATAGCCATCCTGCATCCCCTCCAACACAGAGGAACAGGCTGGCGGGGGGGACTCAGTCCCCGGGCACCCAGCGGGCCTGCAGGCCCTGCATCTTCACTGGACACTCACTCAGGCACCAGGCAGGGCAGCCATGAGGTCTGATGGCAGCAGGTGGAAGTACAGTCGTTGACTTTCAGGGGCCGTGTCCTCACGTGGGCCCCCCAGGACGTACACTCACCACACGTTGCTGGCCTTGGTCTGGTCCACCACCAGCAGGTTGCAGTGCACCTCATCCACCAGCTCGGGCGCAATCCAGCGCAGCGGCACCCACAGCTGGTCAGCGGTCACGAAGTAGTCCTCCTGTGGGCAGGCAGGCCAGTGTTACATACTGGGGCCTGGACGGTCAGCCCTGCCCCTCCAGCCCGGCCCACTTACTCTGTATTTGCTGTGAGAAAGGCCGTAGTCGCCGATCTTCACCGTCAGGTCAGCTGTGAGTAGGCAGTTCCTCAGGGCCAGGTCACTGGGGGCAGGAGGGCAGGGTCAGCCAGCAGTGCCGGGCTGGGGGCGTCCAGGGCACTGAGGGAGCTGGACAGCTTGTCACCAATTGTGTCCTGGTCTCGCTCGGTGCGGGGGGTGGGAAGGGCATCTGAGAAGCTGCCCCTGCCCAGAGCCCCATGCCCCTCGCTCAGTGCTGGGCACTTTGGAGGTTCTGCATGGACAGGGCTTCAAACGTTACAGCGCAGAGGAGGAAAAGGAGGCCCACCGAGGGCTAGAACGTGCCCAAGGGCCCTCCACAAAGGCGTGGCCCAGCCATACTGGAACCCCCTCAGCTCCCCGGGAAGCAGGAACCAGTGGGGAAACAGGTCCGAATGTCCCTGGGGTCCTGCCCCTGCCCTGCCCACACGGGGCCCCAGGGCAGGGTGGGGTGTGCAGCGCCCACCAGCAGCAGTGCCTTGGCTGCCTGGTGGCCGGGTGGGTGTCTGGGGTGTAGGGCACCGGGGCAAATGTGGGGTCAGCACAAATCCGCCACAGAGCTGCTGTGCCGAGGCCACAGCCAGGCCTGCGTCTGGGGGCGTGCAGGCACTTGGGGCTGGGTGGGCACGGCAGGCAGGTCGGGAGGCTGGCAGCTGCCCTCTTCAACAAAATCACTGATGCTGGAGTTGCGTGTGTCATCACTCAGCACCAGGATATTGTTGGGGAGGACGGCCTGTGCGGCGTCCAGGGCTGGTGGGGCCACATCCATTGCCACTTCTTCCGGCACGTCCCCCTACGCTGCACACCCTGGCCCGTCTTTCTGACTTCAGGGGCCAAGGTGGGAAGCAGGACAGATTCATCCCTCCCCCCAGGCCCGAGGGAGACAGGAGAGCAGGGTCCAGCATGGGGCCACCAGGTGGCTCTGACCACCTTGGGGACAGAGCACAGGCCTCGGGCCCTACTGCGTGCCCGCCCAGGCCAGCTAGACAGCGTGCATCGCTTCACTTAAACGTCCTGCAAAAGCAGGTGTCCAACCCCATGTGCCCGGGGGGTGCGGTTTATGTGATAAAATTTCTTTGCACAGCGGTCCCTCGAGGCTGAATAAAGACTAACCCAGGGAATCCTCACACTGCCCCCGAAGCAGGAATTGCTGGTGCCCCTTTCTGCCAGTGTGGGGGCCCCACAGACAGCTCATGGAGCCCCCAGGGCTTCCAGCCCCGCCTCCGCCCTCACCTGTGCACGTAGTTGTTGCGATGCAGGTGCAGGACGCCACAGGCCACCTCGCACGCCATGCGCTGCAGGGTCAGGGGGTCAGGTGCCATGGACTCTGCCACCCGGCAGCTTCTCAGGTAGCCCTTGAGGTCCCCCTGCCGAGAGGGGCAGCACTGTCAGCTGCCGGCTGGGGAGCCAGCGCCCAGGCAAGCCCACCTCCCCACACAGGGCCTGCTGGGGCGAGCAAGGCGTCCGGCTAACAGCCCAGTGGAGCTGCTGTGTCCAACCTCCACTGCCCAGGCCTCCCTCCTCACGCAGGGCCTGCTGGGGTGAGCAAGGTGTCCGGCTAACAGCCCAGAGGAGCCGCTGTGTCCACAGTGGCCTATGCTGTGGGGACCCACGTCTTCTGAGGGCACCTCTGTGTTGGCAAGCGGCTCGGCTCAGTGCCGGAGCTGTGCGTGAGGGAAGGGGCCCTGAGGGGGCAGTTTGCAGGCATGGTCACAGGCCCCACAATTAAAATGCCCCCAGCGAGGCCATGGAAGCGGAGGTGAGTGGGTATGAGCCTCCCTCACTGGCCCAGGCGCCTCCCGGGGAAACTGTCCCCACTCTGAGCAGTGCAGGCGATAGAGCAGCAGCTGGGGCCTCCCAGGGTGCAGTGGAGTCCCAGCCCGAACAGACACCCTCCCCAGTGGGGTGGGGTCACCTCCCACTGGGAGGTGATTGGGGGTGAGGAGTCCCCGGCTCAGCAAAGGCCCCTCTTCAAGGAGGCTGGGCCCACCTTCCCATCCTGGACAGACCCTCCGGGCAGAGGGTCTGGAGTGCCCGGGGGGCGACTCACCATGGGGCAGAACTCCATCACCAGCAGGTAGGGTGTCACTTCGGCGCACTGGGCCAGGCACTGGAGCAGGTTGCTGTGCTGCAGGGCCCTGTAGGAGCCAACAGGCCACCCCCAACACACACTCAGGACACGGCGGGGCAGGTGGGCGGGGAGGGGGGCTGGCTCTGCAGGGGTGGGAGAGCAGTGGGGGCAGCACAGAGCTGGCCTTTGTTTACAGGGCCCCCCTCCCCGGCCCGTTGCTGCCTCCTCCAGCCTCGCCAGTCCCCAGGTGCCACCCACCGGTAGGGCTGTGCCTCCTCCAGGAACTGCATCTGCTCCTGGACACTGGCGCTGGCCTTCAGCTCCTTCACTACCACCTGGGAGCTGCTGATGCCTGAGTTCACCTCCCCCAGGAACACCTGCGGGGCAGGCGTCACCTCAGCCTCCACTCTCCCCAGGCTCCGCCTCCAGCCCCTGCTCTTCCTCTCCCCCCTGGAACCTGGGACAAGGCATGTCTTTCTGTGCCTCGCTTTACTCATCTGCAAAATGGGTTCTGGATCCCTCCCAGGTGACCCCTCCTGGCTGTAATGTTGAGTCTTTTGTGTTCATCTCCCCCAACACCCCCAGCTGTTCTCAGCTCTCTCTGGGGGTCTGCAGGGAGGAAGAGGGACCTGGTTGCCCTGCCTGGGGAGGGGAGGAGCCACGATCAAGATGCTGCTCCCCATCCCCTGTGCCCCCAGCCCAATCAGAGATACCTCCCAGCATCCAATACCAGGACCTGCAGAGAAAGGGCTGCAGACACTGAGCTCCCCAGAGAGGGGCCCAGCAAGGTGGGGCCTGGAGAGGGGCCCATGGTGCCAGCCCACCCCCCAGGTTGGCAACTCACCTTCCCAAACCAGCCGTGGCCAATCTCCTCCAGGTACAGGAGGCTGTGCCGGCCCAGGTCTGTGGACTTGAGCAGCTGCACTGTAACAGGGCGGGGGGCTCAGAGACCCCAGCTCAGCCTCCACCACTGCCCCCATCTCCCCTCACCTAGCCCCTCGAGGGGCTGCCTGCATAGTCTGTTCTGAGGAGCTGCCCTGAGCCCCCCAAAGCCGGGGCCACACCTGGAGGCTGCCATCAGGAGCAAGGCGTCTGCTGCCCCGGAAAACTGTGGACCTGCAGGCCACATCCGGGCATCTTTCTGGGTGGGTCTGGGAAGGCTGTGCCCCAGCTACAGGGATAAGCCAGGCAGGAGACAGCAAGGCCTGGAGCCGGGACTGGTCCAAAGGTGATGGCTGGCAGGCAGTGAGGTGGGGCTGAGGCCATGGGGAGGAGGGCACTGGAGCAGCCTGTCCCTCACCCCTGCTGCAGGCTGGCATTCCAGCGCCAGGCACGCTAAAGGCTCCTTTGTTGGGGGCTGCTTGGCACAGCCCCGTACGGAACACACTGGGCCCATTCTCTTGCAGGCCGGGCTGGGTGAGGTCAGCAGGAAGGGTCAGTGAGGGCCCCAGAGGAAGGCCAAGACTGCTGAGCCCACTCATGCCCTGCCTGTGCCCCGAAGGATTCCCTAAATTCTGCTCCCACGCCAAGTGCCTGGAGGGCTCAGGGGACAGGGCCTGAGCCTGGCTGCCGGGAGAGCCCAGGGGTGAGGGGCTGCCCCCAGGGACCGGCGACTTCAGGGGCTATTGACCTTGATGCTGAGCAGAATTGAGGGTGGGGGTCCCATTAGGCTCTGTGTCCCAGGGCTCCTCCCCCAGAGCCCCAGACTGATGCCTCCGAACTCTTCAGCCTGGGGTCTCCCTGAGCAGGCTCCACGTGGTCCTGCCAGTGACACCTGGGCAGTGATGAGATGGGAGCATGCCCACTGCCAGCCAACGGGAAAGTTCCCCTCTCAGCTGCAGGAGGCAAGGCGGGCCAGGGCACTGGGGTCCACCGGAGGGGCAGCACCCACAGGGGAGCCCAGAGACTGGGCTTGGCTGTGCTGTCCCCCTTGGCAGTCTCAAGGCCTGGGACCTGCTGTCCAAGTTTTTAACCCTCGACCTCCAGGTGGGCTGCCCTCCCAGCATCACCTGAAATCTCGCCCCCTACCCAGAAGCCCGGTACCCCCCAGAAAACTGAGACCAGAGCTGCACAAATAAAGAGCACAAGCAATCGCTGTCCTCTCCTGGGTCCCTGTCCCCCGTCATCCACAGGAACAGTCCCCCAAGGATGGGAGAAGCTGGGTCTCAAAGATTCTGTGGGGTCCCAGGCATACACTGCCCAGGGAGTGACAGGTCCGAGCCCAGGGGGTAGTGTCCCCTGGCTCCCCACCAGCTCCCAGTGTCCAGCAGTGTCAGCACAGGCTCAGAGACCCTCACAGTCATCCAGGAAGGTCAAGGGACCTCCTGCAGCAAAGAGCCCACCTTCAGGGGTTTATGGGGTGTTTCTTTGGGCCAGTCAACAAATGTGGGCATGCCTTTGAGCCCCAGGCCCTGATTCCTGCCTAATTCCTGAACTCCTGTCTCCTTCAGGAGTTGCTGGTGTGTGGGGTGTGTGTGGGGGACACACATGGAGCCCTAAGCCCTGGAACTGGCAACCAGTGGCCCCCTAGGTCTGCTCTGGGGGCTGAGACCAGTGCCTCGGAAGCCCCCAGCCCATGAAGAAGGCTGAGATCTGGAGTGGACAGCATCATGGTTAGGGCTGGCAAAGCCCAGAGCAGAAGCAGGTGGGGTGGCCTGCTCATCACTGCAGTAACAGGCCTGGTGTCCACAGAGCCCCCACAGGGCCTGACACTTGTCCCTCAGTGCTCCTGGAGGAGCTGGGGGTGGGCATAGGCCTTGCCTGGGAGCTCCAGGGAGGAGACCTGAGATCAGACTGCCACGGAGGACAGAGACATGCCTGAGGCCAGGCGATCCGAGGCTCCAGACAGAACACGGGGTTCCCACAGCGCCAACATCAGGCAGACGTGGGCACAAAGCCCAGCTCAGTCATTGACCTGTGACCTCTCAAGCTCAGGCCTCGCATCTTCGCGTGTGGGTGGTTAGCCTGGTGGAGCGACCCTGGCTGGGGGTGAGTGGGAGACACGGCAAGGAAGCCCAGGAAGAGGCCTCTGCCTGTACCTGCATGCGCTGGGTGGGACCGGGCCCCCTTCTGCCCCACCCCAGGGCCTGAGTGAAAGGCCTATTCACAGCCCTGCCCACAGAGGGAGCCTCAAAGAGGCCTCCTCCCGGAGTGGGTCGGTGCTGCCCACCTGGCACAATGGAGCCCATGTCCCTGTGTGGCCAGCCAGCACCGAGGAGTCAACAGCAGAGGAGCCCTCCTCTCAGCACACAGGTGGCCCATCCCAGGACCAGAGGGAGCAACTCCTGCCCCAAGTGCCCGTCTCCACCCCTTTGCACAGCAGCCACAGGGTGGGTGAGGTGGCAGGCAAAGGGCGCCCCAGGTCCCAGCAGAAGGGGGCACACACTATCCCCTTGCCATCCCCTCCCCAGGAGCACTGGCCGCTGACCCGTGAGCCACACCCTATGCCCACCACCTGGGCCTCCTGGGGGTTCACTCACCTGAGCGCCCTGGCTGCTTGGCCATGGGGAGGGAGACCTCGGTGAGCGGCAGGACGTACACGTCGGGCCCGTTCTGAGCGGCCGCCGCCGCTGCCGGGGAGCCCTGCGCCGAGAAGTCGGCGGCGTACTCTTCCCCCTCAGCATTCTCAAACTCCTGAGCAGGCGACAGGCTGTGAGCTCAAGGGCTCCCAAGACGGGGAGGGGCAGAGGGAGAGCGGAGAGCGAGGGGGCAGGTGTGGGTGGAGCTCCCACCTCTCCTGCAGCAGGGTGGGGGGCTTGACCCTCTCCACCCATCTCTTCGCTCCTCAGGGCAGAGACAGACCCCACTCCTAGCCCCCTCCCCTGCCAGGGACCCCAGCTGCCCCAGAAAGGCCTGCATTTGTTTTGTTGGGGGGGCATTTTCCTCCCAAAGGCAGGGTCTCATGGGTGGGGCCATGAGCCCCAGGGCAGCAGCGCCTTGCCGGCCTCAGCCCACCCCCACCCACTTGTACCAGGCTCAGGTGGGAGTAGGTAGCGCTGGCCCCACATTGGCAGGGGGTGGGGTGGGGCTGGAGGCAGGAGACCAAGAGGCCAAGGCCAGCTGCCCCTGCCCATCCAGAGTCAGCCCCCAACGCCTCTCCACCAGCCCCCACCTCCCAGCAGCCGCCCCTGCCCGTGGTCCTGCCCGCCATGGGGCAGTTGCCTCAGGGTCAGGGCTGGGGAGCAGAGACAGGGGCTCCATCACCCCACCCCACCCCACCCCCCCGCCCCAAAGGACAAGCAACTAAGTGCCCCGCCCTGCTGGACAAGGAACATTCCTGAGTGCGAGCAGGGAGCCCACCCCCCATCTTTACCCCCAGGCCGGACACCCTGCCACCTACCACAGCCATCTGCCAGCAGGCCGCCCTTGGACCTTGACCCCAGGCGGCCCGGCAGCCACTCCCAGGGCTCCTTAAGAGCCTGGCCCTGCGCAGCCCGGGACTGGGCCCCACCTGGCTGGGCTGCTATTTTGAAATTCGGCTGCCACACCTGTGTGTCTGGGAAAGACCCCTCCCCCAGGGCCCAAGCACATTCCTGAGCCAAGAGCCAAAGTCTCTGGAGTCCTGGGCCTGATGTAAGACGACTGCCTGACAAGACACCAGTGACAGGACTGCCAGCGCTCTGAGCTTCACTTGCTGTCTGACCTCACAACGCCACTGCCCAGGTGGGGAAACCGAGACCAGATGGCTCGAGGGACTTCCAAGGAGCTGGAGCCCAGCTGCTCCCTCAGGCTCGCGCCCGTGTGGACCGGTGCTGGACTGGGAACCAGGAGGCCTAGGTTCCTCGCCAGGCGCTGTGTGACCTGGGGACGCTCCTGTTCCAGGCCTCAACTTGCTCAGCTGCAAGAGGGAGGTGGAAGCCCCATGCAGGTCCCCACAGGCCAGTCCCTCTCTGTGCCCAGAGAGGACAGAGCCTCCGGTGCCTGCAGCAACTCTTCCTCTCCAGGGCCGCAAGACCACCCTGGGGCCCTGGGACTGTCAGAACCACCCCCTAAGCCCTGTAAGCCCAGCTGCAGCCCTGCAGATGGCACAGACGCCCGTCCCAGCCACCAGGGCCTGTTACCTGACGGTGCCACCTGGAGGCCCACCAGATTCTGCCAGCACAGCAGGCAATCAAGTAGGACAGTGTGAGCATCGCTGCCCAGCCCCTTCCCCCAGCCCAGCTCCAGCAGGGGAGCCCAGCACTGGTCCCTAGAGCCCAGGCAGGAGCCCACTGTGCAGGCAGGCCCTCCCACGAGGCACACTGGTGCTGGAATGTTCCCGGCACCATGTTCCCCAGGAGGCGAGGGCACGGGTAGGAGGGGCCGTGGCTGGCCCTCGTTTGGGGCCTTGTTCTCACAGCGCTCTGAGGAGGGGCTGACTTATACAATGGCCTGAAAGTCCCACCCCTGGGTCCCTGTCCCCACCCCTGCCCCCCACGACCTTGCAGCTCTAGCCCCAGAATCCTCCAGGAAAATGCCAGTGTTGCCTGGCCCGGCCCCCTCAGAGGGTCTGGAAAGATGGCCAGGCAGTCAAATGTGGGCTCTATACAGGCAGTGCCAAGTTCACTGTCCTCAGCGGGCAGATGCCAGCTCCCCTGGTCCCTCTGTGATGTGACAGACCAGAGGGAAAGAGGGGAGGGCACTGTTTCTCTAAAACGGGGGCAACATGGCTGGGGTGCAGTTACTACGGAGACGGGCGGAGACGGGCGGGTGCTGTGTCTGACCACAGGACGGCCCCTCCCCCCTCAACCCCGCCAAGCCCAGGAATCTGACCTCCAGCCCAGGGGCAGGGCTGGCCCACGTTGGCGGGTGAATCACCACAGGCTAGCCCACTATTTGCTAAGTCGGCAGGAACTGGGGCTAGGGGAGTGCTCTGGTTGTGGTTCTCAGCTCCCAGCTTTTCTGCGTGGTCCGTGTCCCCCCGGCCCAGAGTTGCAGTTGGACCTGGGGGGTAGCCGTGGGGTTGGCAGGATGGGGGAAAAATACCCCAACGGATGCCCCTCAGCCACCATCCTTAGGAAGGGGAGACCTCAGCCCTAGAACCCAGCCCAGGACGGCCACAGGGAACTTGGCCCTGTGGAGGGCGAGCGGCCTTCCTGAAAGCTGGGCCAAGGGTTCACTGACGCTCCATACGGAGCAGTGATCAGGCTGCTGTCCACAGCCACCCTGATGGCTTGCACCCGCACGCGCAGTCCTCTCTTCAAGGGGCAGAAGACGCCCAAAGCCAGGTGATGCCAGCTGTGAGGTGGTTTTGGTGCTAGGGAAGCACGTGTGAGAGGCTAGGGTTTCCCTTTGCTGACTCCAATGAGCAGGGATCCGAGGACCCCCTGGGCACAGAGCGGCTCCTTCTCCGAGAGGAACTCAGGGGCCTCTGGGCAGGCGAGCCCCCTCCCACGCCAGCCCAGGAGCCCCTCTGAAAGGCCCATCATCACCGTCCTGGAGCGCCCAACCTGCGCCCAGCACACAGAGGCCTGACTCCGAGCTGGGATATGACAGCGTGACCCAAAATGGGGGACGCAGTGGACTGGAGTCCCTGAGAGCCCCGGGCCTCTGCTGTCGGCAGCCCCCAGAGCAGGCTGTGGGGTCCGGGCCACGGTCTCTATGGTCCCTAGGAGACAGGGAAGCTCAGTGCTGAGTGGACACAAGAGGGCCCAGCCCTCGGGAGCCCTTCCACAGCCCCCATGGGCCCCCAGCCCTCACCTTGAACCCGATGCCGCCCTTCTTACAGCACAGGCAGGCGAGCATGAGGGCAATGACAGTGAAGAGCCCAGAGAAGGACACTGCCACCACAGCCAGCGAGGACGACCAGGAGAGCTCGCTGAGCGGGGCACCGTCTACAGAGGGAGAGAGCAGTTACAGGGCTGCACCCGGTCCGCCAGGTTCACTCAGGGGTCAGCCAGGCCCCCACCCCTGCCCCGGGCTCCCCAGCCCACCCTGACTTGCCACGGTCTGAGCCTCAGCACCCTGACCCTTGCTCGGAGACCCCAAATGCCGTGGCACAGCCGCCCAGCCCAGGGCAAGTGGACACTTGGGGTGGCTGCAGTGGCCAGAGCCTGCAGTCCCGAGGCTGGCCACCGGGTGCCGCTCTAGGCTCACCCGATGGACATGGGGTTGACAAAGTGGCCGGAGCATGCCCAGTTCCCAATTCTGGGGGTTCACGGACACCCCTCTGTGAGGTCAGGGTCTTGGGGCTGTAGGGACCCCCTCCACGTCTCTCAGACTTTGCTCACCCCACATCACGCCCCTGGAGCCTGCCCCAGGGGCTGTCATCATTGCCAGAGCAATGGGGATGGCCTGGGTAAAGGCTGAGACCCCCAAGGGGGCTGGGAGGTGACTCGGACCCCACTAAGTCAGGGAGACTGCAGAGCTGGCTGCTGGCCGCTGGCCACATGCCAGGCTCAGGGCAGCTGGGGCTCAGGGCCATGAGATATACAGCCAGTCTGGTCTTTGAGGCTTGGGGACCCCACTGTCCCCAAAAAGGTGGCTTTGCATCAGCTGGACCTGGCATTTCCAAGTTGCCCTTTTGCTGAACCGACCACCCAGGGCCCCCGGTGCTGCTTCTGTCCTGGGGACAGCGGGGACCCCCCTTCTGCAGCACCTGGTCCACGTGAGGCCCCTCGTGGCTAACCCTCACCAGATGGGGAAACTGAGGTGCCCAGGACAGCACGACATGGGCCCCCAACACATAAGCATGGCCCTCAAATAGGGCTCCGAGATGCCCCCACTCCCCAGTGGAGCCACGGCTTCAGGGACACTTGGCCCATCTGATGCCCACAGGACAGCACGCCCTGGATGTGCTGTCCCCTCCCAGAGGAGGGGTACGCGGGGCTGGCAGCTCCACCTCTGTCCTGCCCCTCCTGCCCTGCCACACGGGCTCCAGCGCACACCCCTTCCCTGAGGACATTCTGTCTGTCCATCCTCCATCCAGCCCCTGGAGCTTTTCTGCCTGCCCCCAACTCCTCTGCCCACTGAGCACCCGAACCCCTCGAACTTCCAGTCCCAACTCCCAAAAGTTGATCCCTTCAGACCCCGTCACCGACCAGCACCTGCCATCGCAGGGCCCTCAGTTCAGGTCAGAGCAGGTCTCAGAAGCGCCAAACTGGCCCCTGAGACGGCTGTCATGCCTTCCCCACTAAACAGGAGAAAACAGAGGCTCAGTGAGGGTGAGGAGCCCGCCCGAGGCGGCACAGATGATCTCTGACTGATGTGCTTCTGCTCCCAGCCTTCTGCGCCCGCCTGCATGGGAAGCCAGGGCTGCTGGCTAAAGGGGCATCTGGCAGGGCTACCTGGAGGCGGTGTGAGCCCGAGGGCCTGGAAAGACGGTGAGCGCAGCCTGGACTCCTGCTCAGGTCTCGGAGCCCATTCCCCACACCCCCACACAAGGAAAAGAGGCCCGTGGAATGAGAGCCAGGCAGGGCTGGGGTCCAGGAGGGCAGGGTCACCTCAGCAGGGAAACCAGCTCAGCCTGTACCTGGAAGAAACCTGTGCGCGGGGTGGCCGCAGGCTGTGTCCCCCAATCCCACGGGCCGCGAGCAGATACCCTCACAGGGGCCTCCACAGGCAAAGTGTCAAGTGTGCTATGTGAACGCACCTGCCGTGTAATCCCTGCACTGAGCTCTCACACCCTAACAGCACACGGCACACAGGCACTCGCCCAGGCGTGTACTCGCAGGGCACTGCATGGCCCTGGCTCCCAGCACCCCTGGGAAGCAGTGAATGCCCTCGAGGATGCACCATTACCATGGCGACCCACTGGGTGCTCAGCACTCCCCTCCCACCACCTCCACCCACACAAGCACTCCTGCACCTCCCGCTCCGGGCTAGTCATGGGGCCTGGGAAGGTCTCCTGGCCCACCGGGGCCTTGAAGAAGGCAGCAGGCACCATAGCCCACCACCCACCTGCCTCTCAGGGCTGCATAGGCTGCTGTGGGCAGGACTACCTCAGGGGGCTCAGCCTCCACTCAGCCTCTACCTCCAACCTCTACCTTCAGCCTCCACTCTCAGCCTCTACTCTCAGCCTCTACCTTCAGCCTCCACCCTCAACCTCTGCCTTCAACCTCTTTGACAGTGCTAGTCCTGGGGTGTGGCCCTCCTGTGAGTCCCCTCCTGACCCACAGCAGGCCCTGGCCACAGAGCGTGATGTGCTGGACTCAGCAGCAAAGGATGGTGGCAGATGGGGCACTGAGTGGGCCTCCTCCGTCACCCAATGCCCATGTCCCTGAAGATGGATCTGCAGGGGTGGGGAAACGGGCCATCAAGTGGCTCAGAGACAGGCTGTGGACTTGAACTTTCAAATCTATAAAACATGTCAGTTTCTGGAGCCCCCACCAGTGCCTGGCACAGTAGAGACCAGAGCAGCCCCCACCCGGAGCTTCACCTACAGACCCACCTGCAGATGAGGATGCAGAGGCCCAGGGAAGTTAGGAGATGCTCTCGGTCACCAGTGAGCCAGGGCCAACCCTCCGCAGACAGCCCCTCAGCTGCGTACCCTCCAGCATAGCCTGCAGAGCCCCAACACAGCCACCTGCACTCGGGGAGGCAAACCCAGACCCCTGAGCCGTGCAGGGAGGCCTGCTCATGCCTCAGCTTCAGTCGCTCAAGTCCTGCACCCCGGCCTCGCCCAGGAGGGAGCACCCGATGCCCTCAGCTGGGGGCACTTCCCGGCTCTGGACCCCCGGAGCCCTTCTCTGTGCCCTTGGGGTCAGGCACCTGCTGCCTGGACCCTGTTGAGCTCCTAAGACAGAGCAGGGTCTGACCCTGGGTGCCCAGGGCTGGGCTAGGGCCCTGGGGCACCGAGATGCCTGTTGTACCAACACAGCACGCACACATGCACCTGCCCACACGGGAGCACACGTGTACACACATATCCTCTCTTCCAGTCCCCTCGATGAGCCCGCTCAGTAGGAATCGTCATGACCACTTTACAGCTAAGAAAACTGAGGCTCAGGGATGTTACAAACACTGACGGGGCTGGTGGGGGGCGGTCTGGATCTGGCCAGCTCCTCAGCTGCTCCTGACTCCCTGCTTGCTGCCCCCAGGACCCACCAACGCTCCCTGGGGATCGGCTCCCATTAATGGTCAGGGAGGCCTGTGGGGTCCACCTGCCTGTCCCACCCATTGGTGTCCCCTCTTCCCAGAGAGCGAGAGGGGCCAGCACCTCATTTCATTCTGGTGATGTGACAACCTCAGCCAGTGGTGTGACGGCCCAGGGACGCTCTTGGTTCAAGGGCCATAGTGACACCCGGGGCACCCCCAAGGGCTGGGAAACACCAGTAGGCACATGTTGACCAAGTGAGGAGAGCGGAAGGCGGGACGACAGCGGGAGGACGGCGCGCCCCCCAGGGGTGACGCTGGGGGCCGTGGGGGCACAGGGCAGCAGGTGGGGGATTTAGTTCCTCAGAGCAAATAAGCCCATCTACTGCTGTAACAGGGGCCAGCTCCTCCTGGAAAAGAAGTTACAGATGTGGACGGGGCAGAAGGACCCCCAAGGTGTCCTGTGTCAGGTGGGCATCAGTGGGACCCCAGGTGGTAAAACACCTTGTGCAGGTGTTTTGTGCAGCCACGGGTGGACAGAGACAGGTGTGGACGGTGTGTCTGCACTCGAGTATTTGCACACACACCCTTCCTTGCTCTGTCCACTGAGGGGGCCTGCGAACAGGGACCCCTGAAACCATCCCCCAGCCTACCAGGCCACTTACAGCAGAACAGTCCCAGCAGCACTGACTCGACATCACTAGTCCCAGAAACTGGCGCCCAGGGGACAAAGTTGCAGATGGCTTTGTTGTTTGTTTCAGAAGCTCCTTGAAATGCCTGTGTAAACAAACCTCATGCCGTTCAACCCTCACCAAGGAGCGTCCAGCTTTCTCCCTGATGCTGAGCCCCTTGCCTCGAGGGGCCGCCCATCTCAGCACGACTCCTACTCGGTCCGAAGTGAGCCCCAGTCCTGAAGGCCCACTTCCAACCAGACGCCGAACCTCACACGCCTCCCACTGCCCTTGGCCCTGGGAGACAGTGATGACACTGGGCCCGCAGGCAGGCAGGCCAGCTAGGGGTCCTGGCTCCTGCAAAGCCCACTTTAGTTGTGACCACAGCGTCCCCTGGATGGCTGGCAGTGGACACACTGGCTGGTGTGGTCCTCATTCCCCACCAGGTGGCACACTCTGGCCGTTTTATGTCCAAGGGTCTTGAAGTTCAGAAGGGAGAGCCTTCCTGAGGACTCAGGCAGGTGAGCAGAGCGAGGGGAGGCCAGCCCTGGGCACAAGTGTGAAGCCTAGCGTACACATCACCACCCTAGCTGTGAGCATGAGGGGCTCCAGGACTGGGGCCTGGGTCTGGGGGCTGCGGGGCAAGTGCCAGGCACCAGGCTCCCTCTGTGGGTGGCCAAGGTCAGCCCCTTGATGTGGGGAACAGCTGCCCTGCTTGTGGGGTAAAGGAGCAGTGTCAGGGTGGTGGCTCACGCAGAGGCGGCACATGCAGCTCAGGGGTCCAAGCTTGAGGTTCCTTCCCTGAGGACCATCCAGCATCCTGGCACACAGCCTTGGCTAACACCCTGTGTGGCAGGAAGGCTCCCCATGGTGCTGCCCCACAGGCTGGGCACTCAGGGACCCCAGGCCTCCATGGGCGTTTCTGTCCACCCGCTGGCTCCAGGGCCCACCTCTGCAGCACTGTCACCAAGGCCCCATGCCCTGCTCCTGGACACAGAAAGGAAGGCCAGACCCCCAGGAGCACCCACAGTGGCTGCAGAGGAACAGACACTGCCTCGGAGGGCCCTGGGAAGGGGCAGCAGCTCCCGGGTCAGCTCGTGGTCAGGGGCTACAGGCTGGGCTACCAGGGC